GATGATTTTGCGAGCACACTTATGCTTAAAGATGAAGCCACTTATGACATTTCTGGTAAAGTTAATAACCATAATTTATGATTTCAGGTCACAGAAAATCCACACGTTGTAATTGAACATGAGTGTGATTTTTCAAAGGTGAATATTTTCTGCACCATTTCTAACAGTTCTGTTTTTGGTTGATTTTTCTTTATGGAAAAATCAATTAATGGGTGCTTTTATCATGATATGCTATCAGAATGGTTATTCCCTTAGTTGGTGGAAGCAGTTCCTGGCTTTTTTCTGCAGTAAGACGGTGCTTCACCACATTGGCATACAAATGTACACCGGTACTTTAATGATAGTCTATCCCATCTCTGGATTAACTGCCCTAGGTCAAATGATATGCCATTGCTTTGTAGGCCACCAAGATCCCCAGATCCCTTGTGATTTTTTTCCTATGGGGTTTTGTTGAGACAAATTGTTATTCCATTTCCCTAAGCATCTGAAGCAGAGGACACCTTGTCATTGGAGGGTCACCCATAGAACATCTATAGAAACTTGGATAACTATAGTTTCATTGTAAATTTACCTAAGTAATGTAATTACAGCATTCACAGGTATTTCTTCTTTTTGTCTTATTTTATAACCTGTTTGTTAATACCCTTTTATCAAATTTATTTCGCTTATCAAAATGCTTTGTCTCTCAAAAATTCATCATGACTTTTGTATGCTTGCTATTGACTGATGGTAACAAGTCACTGTCTCTCTTCTCTTCATGGTTTAGTTCAAAATTTGATTTGCATATGCTGAACATTACTGATTGAGTTTGTATTTTGGGATTTAGTCTAGCTCATTGATGATTTTATTAATATCTGTTATAAATTAGGAATTTTTTATTCATCTGTTATGAATATTTTTTCCAACGTTGGTTTTGCTAGATAAAATTATTGCATAACATTGCTTGGACTATATTAGCTGAAATTGGGGAAATGAAATATATTGCAGTTAATAATCTATGCTGATTTGAAAAACATGCTAACTATGTTATGCAAAAGTTATCTGTTCTGTCATTTACAGGGAGATATTTCTCGGGCCTGATTCTTTTAATACATATTATTTTCTTAAATATAGTGTGCAATTTTAATAAGATTTTAAGTTTTAGCGTTTTAGAAGAGAATGTTCTGTCATTTGTACAGGGAGATATCTCTCATGGGGCCTGATTCTTTTAGTAAATATTATTTTCTTAAATATGTGTTCAATTTTAATAAAATTTTAAGTTTTAGCATTTTAGAAGAGAAGGCAAATGTTCTGTTAAAAAAATAATGTAAAACATTTTTAACGCTTCAAGCAGCCAAGAGTTGAATCCCCAAACTTCCCACAAAGGCATTAGTAAATGGTATTTTGATCATAATTGCTAAATTACCCTCTGAATTTGACTTTTTTCCTTCCAAAACTAATATAAATACTAGCTTAACTGTCTGGATAAATTTCAAGATGTGTGTCTGCATACTTGAAAGTATTGTAACAAATATTTTTGAACATATAAATACAGCTAGGCTACTTGGAGAGTTAAGCAGCAAATAGAAGCAGTCTGCACGCATAAATCATTCCTTTTCAAGTGATAGGAATTGCCACACAAGCACAGAACTCATTTGTATACATTTTATGTATGGGGGTGTATACAGGAACAGAGCACCATAAACAAAATGCATATAGATAAGTTGTACATTTGTGAAGTGATGCACATGATTTCATTAACAACTGTAGAGATGGCTTTTGTCTATCGATCACATCAGCATTGTCTACCATCTCAATGCGCATTTCTGCACACAGAATCTGTCATGCATGAAATCTGATTATTTTGGTCTTCTTTTACCTGCCTTTTTATTTTTGTCAGATATTTTTTAATCATCTTTCTTGTATGTGCATATATACATAATTTTCCCCTATAATATTTTTTTATTTTATGCTTTAATCACAGAGTAAGAATTGCAGTAAATAAAATATTCATTATGCTTTAGTTGGTTCAAAGCAAAAAGCAGTAAATTTTTACTGATAAAATATGTTGGAATAGTAGGGGGCAACAGAGCTCAAGTTCAAGATCTTCAAGCTGTTCGTTTTGGTGGCTAATGGTTTATATAGAATAAAATAGTATTTCTTATTTATTAATTGTTTATCTCATTTTTTTAGTGAAAAAGTTTGTAAATCAGGACCATGAATTTCATGACTTCCATAAAAATATATAATTTTTTTTTTAAATCAGAGCCTGCTTTTTACATTCATAAAATTAAGGTTACTGTCATAAACCTCTCCAGGTTATCATAGCAGACTAAGGTTGCTATTATTCATAAGATTAAGGTTGGTATCATAAAAAATTATTTTAAGAAAGTTTGTTTCTGGAAGTAGGTGTGTGAGATAAATATTTAAGGAAATTGAACCTATTGGGGTGGACCGCACAGAGATAAGTAAATCATGTGAGCAGTCCCTGCAAGTCACTGCTTCCAAGCTTTTATAATGTGTCACGTGACATATTTCTGACATCACATATGCAATAATTCGTTCCAGTTGAGAGTGCAAAGGACATAACTTCATGAGTGACAGGAGATTTTAGCGTTCTGCTATTATCCATAAGATTAAGATTATTATTCATAAGATTCATAAGATTCTGTCGTCAAAACCTCTCGATTTCAGGAGGGGTGACAAACCAATGATCTGATTTTTTCTCTGATATTGTTCCAGATATAACGAATCAGAGGATGTAAATTACTACTGAAAAATTAAGGAGGCATGACTAATTCAGTCTGAAGATTTTTTCCATTGGAGTAACACATCAGAAGGCTCCAGAACTTTCAACTAGAGAGACCTAGAATACTCTTGAACTGTTGACTAGAGAGACTCTCATTAGCAAGCTCTTCACACTATGAGGACTATAATTCATTCCAATAGCTGTCTGTGCTATCCATGAATTATATATTTATGTGATGTACCAGCCTTTGTCAGGAATAAATAGATTGTTGAAGAATCATAAATGTAGTCGTAGCTTAAATTATCAGACGATAAGTTTAAAAAACAGGATCCATTTATTATTGGTCAGGAGAAATAGCAGTTACAAATCAGATATCCAGAGTAAATAAAAAAGAACTACTAATAACATTTTGTATGAAGTTTACTGCATCGTGACATTTAAGAAAAAGCCCCGATATTCTTTTGCGAGTCCTTTTATAGCCTCTGGAAAGGCAGAGAGCTTCCAAGAAATGACGTCAGCCTCGTCAGCCAATCCAGTTCGCTTTAAATATTTCCAGAATATTCTATAACTGTACGTGTGTAGAGAAAAGGTGGGAAAAACAACTTGACTACGGGGCTGTGGATTTAATTCCACATACTTTCAACTCGATTATAATAAAAACGAACGTGCTATAAAAAGAATAAAGAAGTTTAGACAATGATTTTAAGTGCATTCTTGATATGGAATTTTATTATTACATATATATGTAAAGAGCTTCTCGTAATTGTAATTCTAATAACTATGTTTGGAGTTTAATAATGCAGTAAGAATTATGCAACCTCACAAATGTATTAACCAGTATACAAAGTCAAATGCGCTACCTGCCGCAACTCAACACAGTGGTAACCTGACAGTCGGCCCCACAGCAGTGACGACCTCCCATTGTAATAATTTTTTTTTCCAAATGTCGTGCACTAATTGTATGTGCTGTATAAAATAAATCTGCTATGTACAAAATTATCAGATCTATTAATGAAGAGAATTTTAGAAATTAGAAATGAAAAACCGTATCTGTGTACATTATAAACAAAAATTAAAATGATTATTTTTTATTTATAAATGTGAGTATTGCTGAAAGTGTTATCAAATTAATCAGGTTCACATACAGACCATGTAAGAAAAGGAATTCCATTGTTATTTAGTTTTATGTTTTGATTGAAGTATGTGCAGTCATTGTCACTTGTCTCTCGAGTTTCTCCTTTCATCTCTCTGATTCTTTCAGATTTCAGATTTTTTTTTTTTTTTTTTTAAATTTATCAGTATTCCTTCAAACCTAATTTAGGTGAATTACTGATCACTAAGCACTGAAGAGGAAAAAAACATTTGGACAACACATCCCCTCCAAAAAAAAAATTTTGAAAAACATCCCTTAAAAAAAACCCTGCTCGTAGGAAACTTGGACAACTGCAAAACTGCATTTTTTACAAATGATTTCTTTAATTTTTATTTGACCTGATCTGCTTTTAATATGTTACAGAGCATTTTGGGAAGATTTTACTAATATTTAAAAGGTAAATATCACTATTTAATTTCATTCTAAATTTTTTAATAGTACACTAATAAGTTTATTCACATGATACTGTGTATTTTAATTATTTATTTTATTTTTATTATGCTTTAAAGCACTTGATAAATGTTTGAAAGCACTGTTTCTTCTTGCTTGCATTTTCAGCGAGATAAAATTTTAAGAAAATTGAAAAATCAAGTGAAACAAGTAAAAACAAAATGAAGTAAAATTAAAGTTTAGAATAATGTATTAAATATTAAGCTAATATATTTTATCTTTTTATTTATTATAAGTAGTTAGATGATCTGAGTGGTGGCCGTAAGAGGAATAATTATTAGATAAATTGGGGCAGTTATTAGATAAATATCACAGTAAATTGTATAAATAATATAGGATTGATAAAATGACCATGAAGCTGATTTGTTAATTTGGAAATCGTTTGATATTATTTTGCCGTGCAGTATGAAAAACTCCTGGTTTTTCATATTTGAAGGTTGGCAATTATGATACTTTCATATTTATGCTTATCTAAAATTTTATAAAGTGAACTATGAGGTTGCCTTTTCTGAAACTTTTAATGTACTATATATATATTACGTTAATATTATTAATGAAACAGAATTATGATTAAAACTGGAGGAATAAATATTACTGGATTAATGTTTATTCCTCCAGTTTTAATCATAATTGTTCTTTCTTCCTAAAAGTTTTGTATGTATATTTTAGGAAATCCTATAGCTGATGCATTTGCAGTCGTTATGAGGGAAAACAGTGCTCTCTTAGTATTGGCAGATGGTGTAAATTGGGGTGAGAAGTCATGTTTAGCTGCCCGATGTGCAATACATGGATGCGTCAACTACCTTAATAAGGCTCTTTACAGAGAAGGAGGAGGAAGTATGACAACTCAGGTATATATGATGCTTAGTTTTGTGTAATTTTTACAAAAGTATTAATAATGGAAATTAAATACTGGCTATTGCCTTTTAAAGTGATTAAATAATTATAATTTGATGCCAGCTTTGGGTACTGGGGCACATCATATCCTTATGACGCATGCGACCTTCTAACTTTATCTTAATTCTTGCCTGCCTTTAGCTATCTTTGCTTGAATTGCTTGTGTACAATTCAAGCATCCTAATTGCTTTGCTTTCTTTATCATACTGTCCATCTTTTCTTTTTTGAGCATCTCTTTTTTCTTTTAATTATTATTCAAGTATTCATGTGTAATCCATTCTTAGGATATTTGTGGATGATATTGTTTTCAAAGTGTCTTAAAGCACTTGAATTCATGAATAATGTTGAAAAGTGCTTGATTTTCTTTGGCTACAGTTGGAAATGAAAACACCATTTCTACCACTTTGTCTGTGACTTTGTTTGAGCACTATGCTTGTGGGTGCTCACATATTAATATGGAGCGCAAAATAGATTAATCTACATTTTGTTTTCTGTCTTCATGCATATGATAGGATAGGATAGGATATTGATATGTGCAGGACCAGACCATAGGTTAGGAACATTTAATTATGCAAAGATTATTATATAAAGAGCTATCTAGCTTCATTTCAATCTTAATCAAGATAGACTTCTGTGGATTGAACTCAAGAGTTTCATATTCCTTTTCTGTTGTCAACAGTCTATTTGAAGAACTTTATCATTAACAAGTTTTAAGACCCATATTCTGCAGATGCAAATGAGCGATCTCAAATGTTTGTATTCTTACTGCATTCTTGAACATCTGTGCATAAGTTCTGAAAAGTGAACTTATTTGAATAAAAGTCAGCTTTTACAGAATATCATAACTATCAGTCTAGTGGAACGAATGCAATTTTTCTCTATTTATATTTTGCATAATCATTAATTAGATTAGTCTATGAATACTGTGCCAAAAGACTGTTAAAATTTTTTCTAAGTTTGGGAAAAATGCATCTAAAATAATAATAATTATTATTACCACAGTTTAAACAGTCACTGAGTTTTTTTATTTTAATTTTTTTTAAATGTGTGTTAAAAACAACAATAAATTTTGAATATTTTGGTTCCTTTAAATTTATGGAGTCATTTTGTTGCAAGTCAGAATTGTTGATATTTAAAGGTGAGGTTTTGTATTGAGTTTTATCTTAGATCTAAATTAGCATTACAAATTATGCACAAACTATATGTTAATTTTCATAGCAAACTGAAAAAAAAAAAAAAAAAAAAAGGCTTCATATTTAGAGTTTGTGTTTCTGATGCTTTATATTTTACTATGGTAAAGCCCCGTAAAAAGAAAAAGAAGGAATTATTAAAAAATTATTATCATTGAATCATTATTGGATGCAAACAAAATGATCCTCTAAAGCTAAAAATGCTTAAGATAGGACAATTTTTCTTCCTTCTTATTCTTGAAAATAATAAGCTTTTTATATTATGTTGTATTTAAAGTCTGATAATGATAATTTCTGTGATGAATGCATAAAATAAATAAAGTTATTATTAATAATCATGCATCTTATTACTCTGAATAAATACAGTTTTCATTATATCATAATATTAAGTTTCATTGATTACCATTTAATATCTTCTAACTACTAAATAATAATTTAAAATTAAACAAAATATTCTAGATTGATATGCTAAAACCCTCATTTAAGTGAGTTATGAGCTTTCGCTAACAGGCCATCTGCAAAAGCTTCCAGCATATAACATTTAAACTTTAATTTTAAGAAATGTCAGTGAAGAATATTTTATTTTGTTTTAACTTCATTTTAATCATTTTTAACTTTATTTGATTCTTCAACATAAGTAATAATTTTTTTATTGCAGGATGTATTTATTAGTTTACTGCGTTCATTCAGTGAAGCTCATAATCTTATCCTTCAAGAAAATGGAACACTTACTACTCTTTGTGCTGTTGTTGTGGCACAGCTGAGGAACTCCAACAAGTTTATTGCATGTGCATGTAATGTTGGAGACAGTCTGGCATATATTTACAGTCCAAAATATGGAGTTCGTGAAATAACACAAGGTATCATGTCTAGAAACATCTTAACATAAATGACAGTGAAAACTAATATTTATATTAAATTGTTTCATTTGTTTCTATTTTGTCAAATTTATTAATTTGAGTATGCTGTGTGTTCATGTCAGAAATATACAAGTGTACTTTAACAACATAAATAGCTTATTTGGTGCATATGTCTTTACACAGTACTAAAACACTTATTTATAAGATGTTTTCATATGAAGATTTTTATGCTAAGGTGCTTTATTATTATTATTATTTAAAAAATTCCTTTTCCTTAAAAGTTTTCTTCCTTTCACTCACTTTTTCCTCTCACAGTTTGAAGAATATGAACAAGTTAACATTTACTGTTTGTGTTATATCAGTTTCTTAATTTTTTTTTTTTTTTCCCCTGAAATTTTTTGAAACTGCTTTCTTCAGTATGTGCTCTTTATCATAGATCGGTAGTATACGAAACAAAATGTAAGAACAGAAACAAAATCTAATTTGGAAATTGGTTTTCAAAAGAGAAATATAAATCATTTTAAATGTTTATGAAATAACTACTATATTTTATTTAATTAATAATGTCACAGAAATATAATCATGTATTAGTGCAAATCATCTTAGTAGAAATCACCATTTTTCTATGTGTTTGTTTTGTTGTATTTAAAGTTTCTTAACCTTTTTTTGGTGATTGAAAGACAGACATGTGAGCATGAAGTGCACTCATTTTCCAATGGGCATGCCAGTACAATAGAAAATTTTCTTATTCACCCCCACCTGTCATAGTATTTATTGAGTTTTGGAAGGTTTTAGGAACTAATAATTTTGGCATTATACGTCCATAGGATTTTAGATACATGTAGATTTTGACCTCCTACCTATATGTTCTACTCAGAATGAGAGAAAGAGGACTCACATACACTTGGATTTTGATTATATAAACATAAGATGAAAAGCATGTTCTGGACTGGACTCACAGGCTTCCTGATAGCCCTTTAAATGCATGTCATATTTATTAATAAATGTTATAGAATAATTATTAAATATTAATAAATGCACTTTTCCACTAGGCAGGTGCAAGTGATTAGTTGCCAAATATTGCACTTTGTTTTTATTTTTAGCTTTTATTTCTTAAGTGTATGGAAAAAAATATTTCAAATGCTTTGATTTTTATGAAAATGAATTGTTTTATTTTCAAAATTGTTTATAGTGCTAGTTTGGTTGGTCGTTGTCAAAATGAAAAATTTGATGTTGCCAAAATTTTGACCTCAGTTTCTTTACTCTCAAATGTTTTTTTTATTTATGGAAAAAGGGTGAGTCACTGTATCATTGTTAGAATTTTCATCAAACACAATTATATGTAGTTTGAAATTTTCCGTATAAGAATTTCTCATTCTGCTCATCTTTGAGATAAAAAATAAATAAATAAATAAATAAATAAATAAAATGCCACAGAAGATAGACTAACAGAGATACCACAAATCGTATACAAGACAGCAAATGAATGGAAAAAATGTGCAGTCATGACAGTAGTGTTAGTAGAATTAACACTGTCATCATTGGCATATGCATTTTACTTTATAATGATTTGATTGGAAAATAATTCACCCATGTTACCTGCTTGGTAACATTTTTGCCCTCTAAAGAATTTACTTATATATCCAGGTATTACTCTTTTCATATTTTTGGCAGATATTTAATTAGAAGTAATGTCTAAAAAATGTGTAATAAACTTCTTTGAAGTAATGAAATGGATTTAGGGTGAAAAGAAGTACTTTCAGCAACTAAAGCTTTTAGTTTCATGAAAATTTGGTTATTAGTGGGGTTATTTCTGAAAATGGAACTAACAAAGAGGATGATTTGAAAAGTAGAGAACAGTCATATATAAAGAAAACAAAACAAAAACAAAAAAAAAAAAAAAAAAAAAAAAAAAAAAAAAGGTTCACAGGCTCCAAATCAATTTAGTTTTACATATACCACTGATATAAAAATGCAAGGGTAAAAGATGTCTGTTTTTTTAGAATTATTTGGTTTTTTTTTCAATGGGATTGTAAATGATATATCTCCACTGCAATTGCTGTGCAATTGAAAATATGCATTACCTCAAGAATAAATACCACTTATCATGAAGTTGGTATTGCAGCTGAGTTTTTACTTCCTTGTACGAAGTAAAAAGGAAGTATTGTAATCGCGAAAAGTTTCAGGCAGCATATTTCAACAAAAATATCCATTTTGATCGCTATCGAATGCAATTCAACGATGTTTTTGCGTGATATCTGTACGTAAGGACAGAATAAAATACTCGTTTCCTCCAAAAAAATGATAAAACTGCTTTAAAATGAATTCTGAAGAGAATTTTTTGTGGCGTCTGTACGAACGTATGTACATACGTATCTCGCATAACTCGAAAACGAGTAGCCTCAGAACGTTGAAATTTTGTATATAGGACTGCTATAACATGTAGATGTGCACCTCGTATTTTGGTTGCAATCGGCCGCACCAAACGCATATAAATACTATATTTATATGTATATCCACTCTGTTACTCGGCACAGTGATCTCAGTTTCTTTACTCTTATATGTTTGTAAATTGTACATTTTTTGCTTTAAAAATTATTGAATTATGTTGTTCTTATCTTCCGGTTAAGGTTTTTATGCCTTTCGTAATTCTGGAAGCAATATTTGTACAATTATGAACAATTTAAAAGCTGTTTAAAGCGGTTAAGTTTTAAATAACATGGCGACATTATTTGTTTACATTTTGAAACAGCAGAGAATTGTAGATTTGTTGAAAATCTAGAGGACTAAGCTTCGCAAAACAAAAAATAACGCCTTCATTTATTATTGCGAATTAAATCATGCTTAATCCTTTCTGGAATTTTTTCGAAGAAATAAGTGTTTAAGATTTACTTCGTAATTTTTAATGCAGATATTTTGAGTTTTTATGTATTTTTGCCTTGTCGCGAATTGAGAACTGAATTGATTGAATGAGAAATACTAAATCGTCTGTGAAAAACTGTTTCTTTTCTGTTTTGTTTGCTTAATTTCTTTCATACATCGTTCTAGCTTTATTATAGTATTTGAATAGAACATGTGGCAACGATAAGATAATTTTTCAAATGATATAAATTTTGTGCATTCAGAGTGTTGCTATAGTAAACAAATATAGTGAATTTTAAAGAGTGCATTTATTCTATTGTGGTTTCTGCGCTGTCGACGAAGTAGATTTAATTCAATCCAATAAATTTAAATGAAATTCTAGAAAAAAATGCGTATAATTTAATATTCCATACAAGGAAGTCATGTGGTGTCCACATCAGATTTTTTAACATTAATATTACTAATATTATAATAACATTATTGTGTGTGTTAAATTAAATTTTAAGGCACTGCATAGAAAATAAAACAATAAGAAAAACATGAAAATGTATTTGCTAATGTTGGGTTTTAGCGAAAGTTTCCTGCCACTGCAAATATTGTCTACACAAACAGTTCACATCGGTGTGTTTAATCATATTTTGTCAAATATTTTTTTTGACAAAATATGATTATATATATATATATATATATTTCATTTGAAAGAAAGGGATTTGCTTTACCGCGTTGTGAAATTTGTAAAAAAATATCATTAAGTACAAGGTATTTGAAATGGATCTATTATGCTACCACATTAGAACCATCATTTACTCCCAATTCTGTTACAAAAGATCAGCTGAATAATGCTACCAAATCACATGCATAACTCGAGATACTAATATTGTGTGATATGACACTGTGAAGGTTTGGTACCGAAAGTTAAAAAACAGGACTATGACATTCAAGAAGGAGAGTACTCTGGCTTGCCTGCTGATGTTGATGAGGCCCGCCTATGAGAACTTGTAGAAGAAGATCAATATGTAACCACTGGAGAGCTTGCCAAGGAATTATACATTAGTATCATGTTCATTAGTCGCACTGTGCACCGCATAAACTTGATGTACAAGTTCAGTCGCAGGGTGCCACATGAGCTGGCTCAAGCAGATAAGGACAGATGTGGTCGGCCTGCATTATCAATTCAAGGACAAAATACTTGACCAGATTATCACTTGCGAAGAAAATTGGCTGGACATCAACACAGGCTTGAAAGGAGCTGTACGTGGTGAGCCCTTCAGCAGTGTCGCAAAGCACAATTTGATTATCAAAAAAGATCATGCTTTGTATCTTGTGGGTTTGCTGTGAGGTTTGATCCACAACGAGTATCTGGGGAAAGGTAAAACCTTCGAAAGTAAGGTGTGCAGTGAGATTCTAGTCCGTGTTGACGCTGCGATCAATAAAAAAACATTGAACTGAGTTCTGGCACAAAAGGGTAGATGCTAGTCCATGTTCGTGCTGCTATCAAGGAAAAACGTCGAACTGAGTTCTGGAACAAAAAGGTAATGTTCCATCAAGATAATGCATGTGGTCCACATGTATCTGCATTCACTGGGTGGACTGTGTACGGACTCAAATGGTATCTTTCACCACACCCACCGTATAGCCCTAACATCGCTCCTTTAGCTTTCTATCTTTTTTTCACACCTGCAGCTACATCTTGCTGGTGCTATCTTCAATTTTGCACAGAACATCCAAAGTGAGGTTGATTTGTTTTTGGACTCGTGGTCACCAAGTTTTTGAACTGAAGGCTTTGAAAAAATATGAAAACGTTTGCAGAAAATCATTTAGGTGGTGATTACTACCCGCACTAAAGGTACTGCTTTTATGTTCCCCCCCATTAACTTTATTAAGAATGTTTTTTGGTGGAAAACCGTCACTACAGCCAGATATTTGATAAGTATAATGTTGCATGTGCTATCAGTTTTGTTAATTACTTTGCAATATGTTTAGTGTTTGTCAATTTACAGCAGTTAAAATTCTACTAAATATATATGAAGTGAAACTGTCTAAAAAATTGTTATCTAATATTCTGTTTTGTTGCTGAAAATAAGTGTTATTTAAGAAAGGAAGTAGTGAAAAAACAAGCTGCAATTCTGATCAAGATTGCATTGTGTTATTGCACATATTAAGGGCAAGCAAAGACTGCTGTTTTTAGGAAACTTCAAAGGATAAATGCAAGTTCCCTTCCATAGGTAGGAGTAAAAAAATTAACTATTATTAATATAAAATAATTGCTAATATTTAGCTTTAAAAATTATGACTTGACCTATACTGGAGTCCTAGTCAATATAATAAATTAGTGAAATGAAATATTATTGTTTGGATTGTGTACTGATAAACTAATTTAATATTGAATATAATGTGTAGTATTTCTTGAGGTGCAATTAACTCCTTAAGGTACCAATAAAAATTTAGAATGCAGTCTTTTTTCCTACCAATTTTTTTTTTTTTTTTTTTTTTAATTCTTTATTTTAACTTAACTTCCTTTAACCTCTTTCTTTATTTTACCTCAAAACTGTAGCAGATACATTGTGTTGTATTCGTACCTGAAAAAAAGTTTTTAATATGTTTACTGGGATGCATCAAAATAACTTAGTTTGGTGTACCCAAGTTACCTTAAATGAAATGAGTGCATTAAGAGGTTAAATAATGCATTTCATGTATTTAATGTTGTTTTCATCACATAATGTTGCATATTCTGATAAACTGCCTTTTTATTATTTTTAAAAATAGGAATTCTTGTTATTTGAGATCAAGTAACTTTCAAAAGCTCTTGCATATTAATCTTCTATTTTCTTTTTGAATATATTTTCAGGGTCACATGATATTTATTCCATGAGGGACATGAGAGATGCCCTGGGTGCCTTAGGGCCAGTTGATGGCATTAATCCTGAGCTAAGTAATTTGACTGTTGCAATGTCTGAACTGGAAGCTGAAGATATTGTGTTTCTTGCAAGTGATGGCATTTCAGATAACTTTGATCCAGTGGTAGGCAAATTTGCAATTCCAAGGAAAGTAGAAAAGAAAGCTAAGACTCCCACAGATTCTAATGTTGAAAGTATGCGAGGATCAGATATGATTCACACGCTTAACCAGAATCCTGAGAAAGAAAATTTTGTTCTAGATCTCAATTTGCCTGTTGTTGAAGCTCATCAGCGACATGAATTAACACTATTGAGGATGGAAGATTTAATAGTAAATGGAGTTAATGAGGGAGATGGGCCATGCAAAACAGCTAAGCAGATATGTGAGCAGATGATAGATTTTGCTGAAAAGCTGACTATTGCTAAGAGACGTATTTTAGAAGATCCAGAGCTTTACAAAAATGATGACTTAGAAGTTAATCAAGCTGGCCAGCGTATGAGGAGGCGAAAAGTGGGTGAAAAATTAGCAATGGTTCCTGGTAAATTAGATCATGCTTCCATTGTTGCGTACACTGTTGGACTGCGTTTTCCAGAAAAAATACCTTTAATAGCAGAATGCGAGTCATATTCTGATTTGAAATGTTGAAACCCTATTTCTGATAAATAATGCTGATATAATAATTGTTTTATTTAGGGATATTTAATAGTAAAAAAATTGTAGAAATTTAGTAAATTTTACTTTATTTTACTGCTGCTTAATTAAAATCAATAAATAAATAAAGGAAGAGGTAGAAAATATTTATATATTGATAAAAAATTTATGTTTAAATAATGAATTCTCATATAGCTGTTATGGAAATGATTCATACATAATTCCGTGCACCTTTTTTAATGCTTAAAATCAGTAACTCTGTTTTTGCTTACGTGATGATGAATCTAATCTGATATATATTGTTTCATATAATATAATTTAGTCATTATATTCTAGTGTAGCAAATGCTAGATATTTTTAGTTCCTACTGTGCCATTTTAATTTATAATTTAATCTTTCTTTTTATTTAAATCATTCTTACTGTAATGCCAATCTGCTGTCTGTTTTTCATTTTCTAAATAATTGTGTTAATATTAAAAAAAAAAAATTGTGTGTTGTAATCTGTTTTGTGTTTCCATGACTGTGATCAAAGAATATACATATTGCCATATTTAATAAACCTATTGATTGTTAATAATGTATAGTATATGAAATTTTTTTAAATATTTTGATCAATATTTGATAATTATAAAAAAGCTAATTTTTATGTTAAATAGAATGTAAATTTTAATTTTTATAAGATAAATGATGAAATAAAAAATTTAAGGTAATTTATGTCTATTGTAAGGTTTGACGAATTTTGAAATTATAAGAGTTGTAACAAATGAAAAAGTGATAAATTGTATCATATGGAAAGTAATCATTCGTTTAATTTAATGAGCTTTGATTTAATATTAAAGATATAACTGCTCAATTATATGTTGCCATAATCTTATAACTCCTTTATTATTCATTTTTTACTCGCTCAATTTAAAATGTTTCTCTCAATTTTTTCACACTTGTTATATGTGTGCTTTTATTTGTTGATTGTAAGTACTTATTATAGTAAATCACATGCGTAATTGTTAAATTATCCAATTGTTTGCTTCATGCTTCCTAATTTAAAATGCATAAAGAGTAAAAAATTGCAAACAAATTAAAAAGCATACCTTTTTTTTATGTGTGGTGTGTAGCATATATAGGGTGTTTCGTAATGTTACTATTTAATCAAAAATATATTTCTATTTTTATTGCTAAGACATTCAAGAATGTTTTTAATTTTTATTTATTACTATTTTGACAAATAAATGTAATTAACACTTTTTTATTGTAACTTCCATGAAGTAAATTTCAATTTCTTTGAATTCTTTACATTGCAGAGTTATCTATCTTTTTTACATTGCATCATGCTTTAGTGTACTTTTCTTTTAACTACCTCATTTTCTGTAATGTATTTTGCTGGTGTTAAATGAATTTGTATTTTATAGTCCTGGGCAGAATTAATTTTATATTCATTATCTAAGTCATAATTTATCTCTCTTTTATATTTTATGCCTTTTGTATTTTTTTAAGTAATATATGCATTAAATTTTGCATGTTCTATTTTTTGGTTGATTGAGCGAGGATATTTACAATCACATCATTTACATTGCACATTTGTCATAGCAACATACATGAAGTAGTGCCTTTTGTAGATCTGAGTCTTCAAATTTTTTGCATTTATTTAAATCTTTTTAAGCTCAGTACTTAAACATTATATATTTATATGGATTTATCCATATAAATATATAATTATATGTGGATGTTTTAGTTTTTTCTTACCTCTTTTCCCTTTTTTTAATTGTTATTAAGTTGATTGAGTAAATTGTGTTATAAATTACTGGTTTATCCATATTTAAAATTTAGCAAAATTCTGGCTTACATTGGCATTAACTTTAGGTATGTATTCAGTGAATTTTGAGGAATCTGACCCAAGTCTCTCTTCTTGTTAGTGTATTCCTAAGAAGAAAAATTATCCAGTTGGTTTTCCTTAGAAAAAAAAAAAAAAAAAAAAAAAAGGAAAACACCACTATTATTCATGTTTACTGCAATTTTTTACAAGCTTTCTGCGTTGGGTAGAGGTATAATTTCCAACTGAATATAATGTTATTACATTTTCTAAATCTGAAAATTGCTGTCTTATAGAAGTAAACTTTCTTATAAAAAAGTAAAAGGATATATATATATATATAATACAAGCATTGCAGTTGCAGTTGTGTTTTACACTATGTGTCATTCCTTTTTTTTTCTGAAATAAAGATCTATTAAACCTGGCAGGCATTATTTTAAAAATAAAATACAAATGCAATTGTTTGTTACAAAAATGTTGTCTTTCATCAGATCCTAAACAATAATTCATTACATATTGAAAACAATTAAGGAAAACCTGAAAATATAGCAGAAGTTAAATCTGAGAAGTTTGAGATAATGTTTTAAAGAGGGTAAGATAAGAAATATGTATACAAAGGTTAATCTGTAAATAAAATCTCAAAAACTGAAAATAATTGGAAAATATTTATGGAGGTTGCAATGCTTAAGAAAATTAATGTACACATTTAAAAAAAGAGCTTAGAAATTCTTGTTCCTTGTTTTGTTTTGTAACTGTTATCTGTGTATTTCAAGAGATAATATAATGTAATTTGTTCTTTTAATTTTAGAGCATAAAACACAATACTGCTTTCAATGAGTCTCATATTATTTTTTTTAAAGGATAGAATCTTTAGAATGGCAATGATTTTTTTTTTTTTTTTTTCAAACCAATGCCAGTCAAGTTGAATTTTGTCTAACTTTAAAATTACTAAAGTTATTAAGTTAAAATATCTGAAGGTATTTTTATATGTGACTGGAGAGGAGTGTGATAATATTTAATTGGAATGTGACTGTAGTAAAGTTTACTATTTTTATGTATTGCTATCTGGATTGTAATATAGGTATTGCTTTAATCAGCTGTTATGTATGTTTTTACCTCAGTGAGAATAAGTGAAAAGTGAAATAAAAAATCATGCTTTTCTATGTAAATCTAGGTTTCTGAAAGCTTGTCTCACATAGCATATTTTTCACCATTTCAGTCTTCTTGAAATCTTTTGGAAGTAATTATTAAACTGAAGATTAAATGACTGAAAAATTGCAATTTATATAAATATCCAACAATTATATATCAAGTTATGCAATATATGGCCTTAAAAATATTATTAATGGCAGTAATGCTGCAGATATGTATAAAGACTGTCTATCTTTTGATGTATTATAAATTAAATGTATTTTAAGTATAAAAATATTTAAATGTATAAAATTAATATTTTAAAAAGTGAGTTTATTCCTCTTAAATTACTCAGTTTGTTTGCTTTAAAATTTCTCAACATATGTTCATATAAAATTCATATAAAATTCATATAAATGTTCATATAAAATTAATGAACATTGCTGGGTGACAATTGAAAATGATTGACAATCCTGAATATATGATGAAAGAAATGTAAAAATCTGAACATTTTCTTATTTGCTTGTATTTGACTAAAGCTATACTTGATCAAGATAATATTGTATCTCAGATAATATCAGACCGAATCAAATATGGAAATCATTTTCCAGAAGATCTAGGTGCACTTTTTCTATGTGAGCATGATGATTTTCCTCTTGGACTTCATCTCCTGACTCCTGACTCAAGGCTCTAGAGACCTCATCTCCTGACATTTTTGTGAAGTGCTGAGTTTAATTATAAACTCATTAAATTAAATGAAAAATCTTACACTTGCTGAGCAGCAGCACTGTGAGAACTGGTGAATTGCTAGGTCATCTGAAAGATATGTTCAAGCTCTTTTTGTTTTATGAAATGGGCTATACTTGTCTGAATTGCATGAATGGTAAATGGTATGGTGTCTGAATTGCATGAATAGTAATGTAATGTAACAGTCCAAAAATTTTTGAAAAGATTTTGCTAAAACCTTTTCAGATCTTTCCATTACAACCTGAGTGATGGTAAAATTTTTATAAATGTAAGAAATAGTTGTCATAGGTTAGTTATTTCAGTAAATAAAAAAATAAGTAACCAGATGTGTAAACTAAAAACAATGTTTTAAAAGAGAAAAGTGCATTTAATTTAAAGGTGCTGATAAGCAGTATATTGTCTGAGATCTGTTCAAGTGGTTCCTTCCCCCTCCCTACTTTATTTCACTTTCTCTTTGTGGATTCACAAAAGTAAGAATTAAAAAAGTTGATTTTTATTTATTCTTCAGAAGTACAAATTTGATACCTAGATCCTTATATATATATATATATATATAATATTTGCTGCATGTTGTCTTACTGTAGAAAAGATCTTATTTTTCTGACATCAAAGTTAACATTTTCTTATGAAGTTGAATACATTTTTCAAATCAGGGCAACAAAATAGTATTTGGGGATTTTTGATAAACATGAGTATATGTTAGTTGTAATATATATGTGTAACAATATCTGAATAGTTTGAAATTTTGTTGATTGTGTGAAAGTGTTTTTTTAAAGAACAATTATAGGGTGTTGCAATGCCTATTCCTTTCTTTGCTTTCTGACTTTTCCCGCTACACATCTTTATGCTTCTTTTTCAGAATTTGTTTCTGTTCTTATATCATCTAGTAAAAAATAAAAATAGAAAATAATGGTGCTTATCCTAGTTCATGTATTGTTTTTCTGAATGAAATTGGTTGCATATTCTTGAATTACAAGCATTTGTTAAAACTTTGATTCCCCCTGCCCTCATGAGAATTGCTACACTTCATTCTTAAAGTAAATGTCTCTTTCAAAAGTTTTTACCAAAAATCTAAAATGTCAGTTATTAAAGAAGTTTGAAATAAATCAAAATGAATGAGTTTTACGTTGTTACATATGTTTTTCATAACTGTCTGAGAGATATCTGAAACATTCAAATTTTTTAATGAAGTGGCATAAAGTGCAAGCTCAATCTGCATACTAAGCAGGTGTGATTTATTTTAATTATAATTTAATCACATTTATCATATTTTCTCATTGTCTGTGTGTATTTTCTGACACTGTTTAATGTTATTATTCTTATTTCATTTGAAACTTTATTACTTTTATGTGCACATTCATAATTTTTATTAAGGGGACTTTTATGAAAGTATATGCAAGTGATTTGAAATAACTTATCTATTTAATGCTATACAATTTTATCTGTGTTGCATAAAGTTCCATTTTTGTTTTCATTTTTTCCTTATTCTTATTATTTTTCCTAATTCTTATTTCTTAAGTGCTTCTAAGTATGTCTCCTTATTACCTATTAGTATTACCATAATTTCCTACCAGCAGCTTAATCATAAAAGGCTGTCTTTTAAGTCAGTGATATATACTCAGTGTAAATTTCTGAAACATTTTGTAGCATTCCTGTGCATAGTCCTTTGGCATTCATAAAAAATTCAGACTTCAAGACAAAATTTTAATTCTTCGTAGAAACATCTGCTTTTGTTTTGCATGCAGTACTTCAGTTTCTTGGTAAAGTATTAATCTCTGATCTTTGTTCAATACTTTTTTTCATTAATTGTAATGCTAAGTCCTTCAAAAACAGACTTCTGTT